CATGGAGATCAGAGATAATGATATTTTGGTTACAATTTTCAAAAAACCAAATTTTGAAGGGATATGAATTATCTGTTGTGAATTGGGCCTGCTGAATTATTTGGAGACTGATCAAATGTGGAAAATTTTTAAGTATTCAAGATAAACACATTCACTAAAGAAGAGAAAGTGTGGCTGCAAATAAAAAACCAGGTTGGCTCTCAAAAAGTATACAAGTGATAAAAATAAAGAAAAGCATTGCATATTTAAGAAATTTAAATTGACTGGTATGATGGGAGATTTAGAAGATTATAGAAGGTCAAGAGAATTTGTCAAATGGGAAATTTGAACATCAAATAGCATGTATGAAAAGAGGTTGGCTGAAAATGTAAAAATTAACAGTAAGGATTTCTTTAAGTACATTAAGGGTAAACAAAATGTTAGGATGGGAGTAGTGCATTTGAGGGAGGATAAAGATAGGCTCGTATCTGATGATTATAAGATAGCTAGGTTATTAAATTCTGCTCTTTCTTCAGTTTTTACTAATGAAGATTTAAGCAGTATTCTTCATTTTGCACAGTTGATAGATGGAAACAAGATCAGACAAGATGATCACATTAATTCTGAGCTTGTAAAGAAAAAAATAGGAAGTTTAAAGAATGATAAGGCTCCTGGATCAGATGATATTTCCCCAAGGGTTTTGAAAGAGGTTAAGGATTGGATATGTGAGCCACATGCTACTTTTTTTGTTTGTAAGTTTTTGAATAGTGGGCTGGTACCAGAGGATTAGAAGTTGATTAACATTACTCTTGTTTCCAGGGGAAGTGATAAAAAATTGTCCCAGTAATTATAGGTCTATTAGCCTTACATCAGTTGTGGGAAATGTTTTGGAAGGTCTGATAAAAGATGCTTTACAAAGTCATTTAACAAAGATTACAATTTTACTGCATAGTCAACACAGTTTCACTATGGAAAAATCTTGCTTTTCAAATCTTTTTGACATTCTTTGAAAAGGTTTCTGCTTATGTAGATGAGAGTAATGGTGTAGATGTGGTGTACCTGGATCTTTCAGAAAGCATTTGACAAGGTGCCACATAAAAGACTTGTAAAAAA